TGGCTCGGTCGGTATAGGTGCTTGGAGTGGCTCAGTGGGTAGGTGCTTGGAGTGGCTCGGTGGGTAGGTGCTTGGAGTGGCTTGGTGAGTAGGTGCTTGGAGTGTTTGGGTGGGCATTTATTTTACAGCTTGAACGTTTTTTTTTTTTTCTCGGTTTAAACGTTTGTTTTGTTTTTTTAAGCATTCTTCGTGGAAAGATGAAGACCAAACCGGCAAACCCTTAAATTTTCAGCGGATATGAGTCATTTTTCTGAGTGCTAAAAATCGTGGAAGTTGGGGTACTTCCAATGTTTTAAGCGGCGTATAAGACAAACCCGACACTGTGTGTCGACTGAGTCACGAAAACGTGGTTTGGAGTGGGGACGAGAAGCAAGGATACCTGTCGATAATAGTCGGAAAAACCATGAGGGGTCTGTTGAGCAAGTAGCGTGTAGGAAAAGGCGCGAGTACGAACGACCATTTATCAAGGCGTGATTTGGGGCCGGATGCAGTGGTCAAATGCGGGTGGGTTTTCGGTTCACTCGAGCCACGCCTGAAGGCTCAGCGGACGGAGCGGGAAAGTAGAGCACGATGTGAGGGCGGACTGCTGTAAAACGTAAGTAGAAGGGAGGCTCAGTTAGTATATATATGCATAGGACCAAGTAACTTTCATCATCTCAATGCCCCCTGATGAGGTTGCCGCTCAGCAGCCGAAACTAGTCGGGGATGCCAGCAACCAAAAGTCCAACGATTCACTCTCATCTTGAGCGGGCTGAGGCGGATGCCATATTGGTGGTGAACTACGAGCTTCACTCGGATCTTACGGGAGCTCAACCATAATTGTGGGCCTTGTGGCAAATATTATTGGGATGATTTTTTTCCGCACATATTATGTCGTGGTAGCGCGGTTGTGTGACTAAGAGTCAGGCTGTCTGTCTCATCCAACTTCACATTCGTAACCGCAGAGGGAACCTGGCAGGAGGTCTCCACCTGTGCTTGGTGGCCCTGTAGCTTTAGCAAGTAACCTACGTAGTGAGCAGTGACGACGGAACGAGAAAACGAAGTGAGACGAGCGAAGGTAGCGCAAAAAACAAGGGCCATCGGACAGCAGAAGGTGTCGAAGGCGTCCGAACCACGAACAACATCGACATGGAAGGTGGTGGAGGTAACAGAGGCATTGGAGGACCCCAAGGGAATGGCGACAACGGAGGTGGGAATTGGTCAGGAGGAGGTGGCGGTCAGAACGGGGGGAATGGATCAGGGGGAGGAGGCGGCAATGGAAACTGGGGAGGTGGAAATGGAGGAGGTAACGACAATTGGAACTCCGGTGGTAACAATGATTGGGGGAATAACGGCAACGGCGGCAGGAATGGGAATGGGAATGGCGGTGGCAACGGGGGGGGCGATAACAACAACTGTAACGGTGGGAGCAACGGTAGTGGTAATGGTAATTAGAATGGAGGAGGACGGGGAGGATGGAACAATGGGGGCAACCAATGGAACGGAAACGGGGGCAGGAACCAATGGAATGGGAACAACGGGGGGGGAGGAGGTGGTCGTGACTGGAGGAGGTCCACGAAATGCTACAACTTCAACCAATACGGTCACATTAGTAGGGAATGCAATGCCCCTAGACAGGGGGGCGGCAACAACGGGAACAATCGTACCAACGATGGAGCGGGTAACTCTAGCAGTGCGAGTGAACCGGCAAGAGCAGCAGCAGTGATGATCAGTAAGGATCAAGAGGAATCACTGTGAATGGTGTGCCTATACACCAACCGACAAATTGAATCAAAAGAAAGGAGGGAAGCCGAAGCCCGGGAAACGGAAGCAAGGAAGAAGCACGAAGACCAAGAGAGGGCGGCGAGGGAAGAAAGGAGCAGACTCGAGCTTCAGAAGAAGCAGGCGAAGGAGAAGAAGGAAGCAGAGCGGCAGTGGAATTTGGAGAATCTTCTCGCAAAGCAAAAGGAGAATCTCAGGGAGGAGTTTGAAATTATTTTTGAAAAGAAATTAAAAAAGGCTTTAGTTGCTCAGAAGGCCCTGCAAGGGAAGGCCAGAACCGAATCCGGTTCAGACGAGGAGGAAGATATGATGGAGGAGCTATTGGAGAAGCGGAAACGTCGGCCTGTCCCAACCTGCCAAGTGGACGCACTAGGGGAATCACCCCTCAAGGTGGGGCGGGCCTCCCCATCCAGGGCGGCTGCTGAGGAGCGATCCCCACGCTTGGCGGTACCGCAGAGGCTGGGGGGGACGGACAGTACCCGATTGGGATTCCCATACCAGGATTCTGGACTATGGGAAAGTGCCCCGACCGCGGATGATTTTGTGAAAACAAGGGCCTTTCGGAAGGTCATTCATAAGTTCTTGAGTAAGAAAACGAAACTGACGATCGATGAAATGTGCAAGGAGGGAGGAGTCGTGTATCGCGGGCGTCTTGAGGCCGTCGACGAGCTAGTTGAGCTGCGCATGATGTACTTCAGTGCACAACCTGCATCACCGGCTGCACCAAGACCCAGACAGAGAAGTGGTGGGATCGTCATACGTGAAGTAGCCCAACCAGAAGAGCCCCAACACGCGAGCCGGGACTCTCCAACGAAGGGGGGAGACCCGGAGGTCGTGGAGCCATAGAGGCCCTGAGCTATGGGACGAGTTGGGGGTACACATGAGATTACGTAGGAGTGTCGCTGGGCAGATGGATGAAGGAAATAAGGCGACCAGGGGTATTTTGAAATACATACTTAGGTACTCAATCATTCTGCTTGTGCTAAACGGATAAATTCAGTGGGGGATGAAGTTTGTCGGGAATTGATTGGAAATGGTCGTTAACGATTTAGACTGGTGGGAAAGCCCAAGTGAATGCATTTGCATACTAATTAGCCCGGAAACAAGGGCGATCTACGTAGGCCAGACGGGACGCAGCCTGAGTAAAAGGTGGGAAGAGCATCTATATAGAAATAACCACAGGGAGGGGAATCGCAGCTCAAAGCTCTACAACTGGCTCCGGCATACGGACGCACTAGGGTATGTCACCATCCCGATCGCTTTCGTACCAGTCTAGACCTCGAGAGAGTGGAAAGAGCTTATATCAAGAAGTGGTCACCAGCGCTAAACTCGAATGGGGTAAGGAAAAAGAGAAGAGGAAAGACCAAGAAAGGAAGGAAGGAGCGAAGGAAAGGTAGAAGCTATGCAGCGAGCATGGAGCTACCAATCATTTTCGAGACTGAAGGGTTGCAAAGGGTGAACTTGGCCGAAGTATGCGCGGCGGCGGTAAAGGGGAGTAAGCAATTTAGAACTAAAGAGGGTAAGTTATGGGTACAACGCTGGGATGTTATAGCGAAAGAACTGGGAGACACGGTTATTCGGTCAGGGGATAAGAAAGTTATGTTATGCGAGATGAAGAGAGATTTTGAGGAAGGAGGGACTTTTAGAGTCGAGGCACTGGGAAGGAGGAAACTGTCGAAAGAAAAGGCCGAGTATAAACGGGAGTTACATCAGCTAATCCAGAATCCTTGGTACAAGAAGAAAATGTATGGATAAGAAATTGACATTTTGACGAGTATGTACTCTGCAATTGGATGTTTTTCTCGATCAGCTACACAATCATCCCTTAAGGATATACTAGCCGGAATCGTATGACAGAAGTTCCACTTCAACCTAAGGAAGAGTATGAGTGTGACCGTTACATATAATAAGGGAATATCAATGCGTTTAGTTCAGGAAATGGTTGAGGGAATACTCAAGAAGGAACTGCCCGAGTTACTGGCAGCGTACGCGTGTCGAAGACTCTAAACAATATGGAAGAAGAATCCCACTGTGAAGGATGTACTTCACAACCACCAGGCCGCTGCACAGCAGACGGTGGCAGTCTGCAATTGCACAGACAATGCCCTCCCGAAAGCGGAGGGTCACGTGATATGTCGGTTAAGTAACTTGGATGCAGTTCATAGTTTCGCAAAAAACTCATGCAATATAATCCCGATGGGACCTGATGGGAGAGCGATCGAAAGGAAGATCAATCATGAGAGATATCAACGATAGTTTAGCAAAAATGGGTATGCGGTCCGTCGTGACCTTGAAGGAAGTTGAGGATTGTACCGTCGGGTTCTCACCCGGGCCAACGGATCTGATCAAGGGTGTCGATAAGTGTAGAGTTCTGATTTTGGGTTTGGTATGCTCAGCGGTGGATAGAAACACAGCCGAGTCGGTGGTTATGTGTCCATATATGTACACTGAGGGAATGAAAAGCACATTCTGGGGGAACTCTAGCTTTTCAGCAGTCTGGAACACTCTGGGAAACAGAGGCGGAAGTCCTGGCTAAAGCAGAAAACATATACAAGGAGCTAGGACTGAGGGAATTGGGGATCTGGGACAGAAAGGGGAGGTACGGGCGTGCTTACATCATACCAAAACAGAAGGACATTAACCGATTCCGACCGATCAGCCCGGCTTTTTCTGAGCCAACTAGAACTGCAGGTGGCCGGACTGCCAAAGCACTGAACCACCTACTTTTCTTGCTTCCAAAGTTGCTGCATTTTAACCTGAAGTCCACCAACCTACTAAAGGAAAGACTAGGGGAGGTAAATAAGTGGGTGGAAGCAAAAGGGAAAGGAGAGTTAGGGGGAGCGGCCTTCGACATTAAGGAAATGTTCAGCCAACTCCCCCATGTGTCTATTCGGAAGGCGGTGGATTGGATCTTAGACTGGTACAGGGAGAAGGAAAGAAGGAAGGTAAATATCAGAAGAAGGGAAAAAGGGTCTGGGTTCACAGACAAAACAGACGACAAGTGGTGGGTTGAAGTGGAATTCGGAAAGATTGCGGCAATTGTGGAGTAGGAGCTGGATCATACGTACTTGATGGCCTCTGAAAGGCTCATCAGACATGGGTGGGCATCCCAATGGGAAAGAGCAGTAGCCCCCCGTTCGCATGCATTTTGTGCGCCATGAATGAATACATTTTTTTGACAAGCCTGGCGGCTGACAGGGGGTTGGTCAGAGGCGTACAACTGATGGATGACGTGTCAATCTTCATTTGGTGCCCAAGAAGAAAGGGAGATCGTCGACAAGAGATTCCCAGCAAGTTCGAGAAAGCCTACGACCAGAAACTAACACTAAAAAGAACCGACGAGGGCGCAGGGACATGAAATTTCTTGGGGACTAAGGTTGAGATTAAGGCAAACGAGGTAACCTATCAAAGTTTTTCCAAAAACTTCGAACAAGTATGGAACGATGGGGTGCTGACCTACCGCACCTTTCAGGATTTTGAATCGTTTTCAATGGTACGGCAGAAAAAAGTTGTAGTCACAAGCACTTTGCACCGCATCAAGAGGATGAGCTCTACGGACGACCTGGCCGGGTTACAGCTACTTACGATGAAAAGGCAGCTGCAAATGCAGAACTACCCTGCCGAGCTATTTAACGGTTGTCTAGGGGGTTTCGTCAGGAAGCGCGCCCCTACCTGGGAAAGATGGGAAAGACGATTGTGTAACTAGTAGGGGGAGGGGAGGGGGTTTAGTTAGGGGGGAGGGATAAAAGCGGGGATGGATATGTAAAACGAGAGGGGTCAAAGGGAGTAGGATGGGGAAGATTACAGGATCTCTCCGAACAGGTGGTGCGCCAAAAACAATGTGGGATTGACTGACAACAGTCTCCGGATTTTTTGTCTGGTGGTAACATTCGAGACGCTCTGGTGTGATAAATCCCTGGTATTTCAGATGAATCACGAAACGTCTCCAGAAGGATGGTAACACGAGGCACATAGGCGAATAAAACGTGGTAAGGAAACTAGGGGCTCTGCCTAGGATATAGCAGGCTACGGGGGGGGGGGAAGGCGAGCACAGGGAGATCTATCGAAGGCGGAGACGGGCTTGGTTGGAATAGAAGGGAAGCTAGATAAGGGTGCGGTATATGGGGAAATACGATACGGCGAAGCAACTTTAAGCCATGCACCGAGGGGAATAAGCGACTTTGAGGAAATGGTGGGCCAAGCCGAGTGAGAGTCTGCGAGCAACTCTAAAATAAGGATCTCGCAGGAAATTACGAAAAATCACCTGATGGCAGTCCTGTCGATTTCACTGTTCCAAGCGACATATAAGACAAACCCGACACGGTAGGTCGACCGAGTCACGGAAACGTGGTTTGGAGTGGGGACGTGAAGTAAGGATACCTATCGATAGTAGTCGGAAAAACCATGAGGGGTATGTTGAGCAAGTAGCCTGTAGGAAAAGGCGCGAGTACGGGCGACCATTTATCAAGGCGGGATTTGGGGCCGGATCCAATGGTCAAACGCGGGTGGGTTTTCGTTTCACTCGAGCCACGCCTGAAGGCTCAGCGGATGGAGCGGGAAAGTAGAGCACGATGTGAGGGCGGACTGCAGTAAAACATAAGTAGAAGCGAGGCTCAGTTAGTACATATAGGCATAGGACCAAGTAGCTTTCATCATCTCGATGCCCCCTGATGAGGTTGCCGCTCAACAACCAAAACTAGTTGGGAATGCCAGCCGCCAAAGGTCCGACGATTCACTCTCATCTTGAGCGGGCTGAGGCGGATGCCGTATTGTGCTTCACTCGAATCTTACGGGAGCTCAGCCATAGTCGTGGCAAAGATTATTAGGATGAATTTCCCCCCCGCATATTATGTCGTGGTAACACGGTTGTGTGAGTAAGAGTCAGGTTGTCTGTCTCATCCAACTTCACGTTGGCCCACACGTCGTAGGGGGGTAAAAAACGAAAACACAACGAATCGGCGCGGCGTTTATTTCACAGTTTTTCTTTTTTTAATTTTCTTATATTTTTTCTAGAAAGAGTGCAATCTGATCTACAGGATTTGAAAATTTCAGATTTTTTCATCAATTAGTCTGAGCACGAAAAACCGTCAAAGTTGGTGGTTCAAAATTGCAGGACTAGACCCGCCTGCCATACTGTGCAACGTTAGGGTTCGGACGCACAGGCACTTGCCACACGAGGTGAAGTGCCAAGAATGGGAAATGAAACCATTTGGCGCGGCATTTATTTTGTGATCTAAACTTTTTTTTTTTTTTTTTTTTTTTTTTGTGGAAAGATTAAGGCCAAATCTGCAGACCCTTAAATTTTCAGCGGATTTGATTCTTTCTTCTCAGCGCTAAAAATCGCGGAAGTTGGGGTACTTTCTCCGTTGGCCTACACGTCGTAGGGCGGTAAAAAACGAAAACACAATGAATCGGCACGACATTTATTTCGCAAATTCGCATTTTTTTAAATTATTTTTCTAATATTTTTTTTAGAAAGAACGGAATCTAATCTATAGGATCTGAAAATTTCAGATCTTTTGATTAGTTACTCTGGCACGAGAAATCGCCAAAGTTGGCGCTTGAAAATTGCAGAGGACTGCACCCGCCTACCACGTTGTGCAACGTTAGGGTTTGGACACACAGGCACATCCCGACGTGCCAGCAGCCTGACGTCGGATACACTTCAAAAGAAATCAGTCCCCAAAAGCAGACAGGGACCCAATCCACCTGAGCAATTATCTCATCGGGTCATTGGGTATGTCAAAATCTATGCATAGGTTCAAACCCCGACCCGGCCACAACCAATGTGAGCAAGCTTCAAATACTAATACTAACATATAATATTAGTGTGTGTGTGTGTGTGTGTGTGTGTGTGTGTGCGAGCAGGCGGGCGAGCAGGCAAGTGTGTGTGTGCGAGCAAGCAGGCCCTACTTTTTGTTTTTTCGTTTTCCCGCCCAAGTCGCTGCCCACGCAAACGCCAAAAAGGAAAAAGAAGCCGCCAAAAACAAAGACGAAAATAAGAAAGAA